GGATGGGTGAGAGGCTTGCGGCCTCCCCCACCCCTTTCCCTTCTTCCGTCTGTGCTCTTTTGAGGGAGCAAGTCATATAAGGAAAGCACGTAGCCGGCACCGGGCAGGTACCCCAAGAGCTAGGTCACACCGGACTGGAAAGGCATTGGCTGGGCTCCGTGATACACCGGGCCCAGCCCCGAGCAGAGCTAGCCGTGTGGGTGCATGATACCTCCTTTCGTGGGTGCTCCCTGACCCAGACCCTAAGCCCCGGTCTGACTGGCAGCCCAGACCCCTGGCTTGTGTGTACACAGTGGGGGGAGGAGGCACAGAAGGAAGGGTAACAGAGGCTGGGAAATGGGAAGGGCTTGTCACCAGCTCCTGCTTTCCCACGTTCTAGAAAAGCAGCCTCTGGGTCTAAGGCTCTCAAGGGAAGGGGTGCTCAGGTCAGCTGGTCTCTGCTCAGGAGGATGCTCTCCACCTGTGCCCCCCATCTCACAGCTGCCCAGGGTGGGGGTCATTCCAGAGGGTGCACAGTCCCAGCCTGCAGAGAACAGGGAGCCCCAGGGAAGGGAGAGAGAGGAGCCACCCCAGGTCCACAGGGCCTGCAGGGAGCCAAGCTTCTTTACTCTGTCCAGAGCTCTGGAGACCCACACAGCGTAGCCAGCTTAGCCTACAACGGGGGGCCGGGCCACCTGGGGGGGAGCCAAGCAGGGCCTGTCACCATGGATCCCCAGGCCAGGCCCAGCAAGTGGCTGGTCACAGCAGCTGGGTACTGAGGCAAAGGTCACTGACATTCCCAGGGGCCGGGCCCAGGCTGAGGGGCTTCTCGTTCGCTCCTCTCTACATGCGTGCGGAGACAGGGATGAGCAAGGAGGAGAGGTTCGCTCACCATCCCACAGCTGTGTGAGAGGCAGAGCTGAGACTTACACCCCATTCCAGAGCAGGAGTCAGGCCTGGCCCTGGGTGAGTTTGTGGGACTGAGGATAGTCATGGTGATCAGAACAGTCCAGGTGACAGTTACTCACTGCCCTTCATAGCTGACAGTTGGGGAAGCTGAGACACAGAGAGGTTGAGTAACTCGCCCAAGGTCACTCAGCACATAGGTGTAGAGCTGGGGTTTGAGCCCACCAATCCGGCTGGCTCGAAAGTCCGTTAACACCACACACTACAGCAGAGCTGGACCTGACAACCATGGGATCTGCAGCTGGGGGACTGACCAGGGACCCCCAAGTCCTGGCCTGGGAACACCAGTGGACTTGAGGCTCGGGGCGAGGGGTGGAAGCTGGGAGGGCAGGGCAGGAGCCAGGACCAACCACAGCTCTGCTGGGCTGTCTCTGCATGGCCTCTGGCCAGCTTGGGTGAGTTCCCTGCATTCGCTCTCCATAGCCATGCCCCTCCTAGCCCCTGCCCCCCATCTCAGCTGTATGCGAGGGGGGATTCGGAAGGGCTGAGGCCACTACAAATCACCCCAGAGTGAACGAGGGGGCTGCCTTCAAACTACCTTCCCCAGCATGGCCTATGGCTACTAGTGGGACCAGAAGCCCCCAGCAGGGGTGGAGGGAGGTTTCTCTGTTCCAGGGAGCTGGAGAAACACTCCCCTCCTCTCCAACCGTCTCCACTCCCACCCCATTCAGAAAGGCCATTAGCATCTTAAAGGCTGAGAAACGCATCTGCACGGAGCATCTGCACGGAGAACGTTCATCTGTTTAACCCAGTGTTTCCCAGACTCACTGCCCACCCTTCACAGAACCTACCCACAGAGGACCCCCTGAGGGGGCTGACAGCCTTGGGGAGTTCTGGTATACCTTGGCCAGAAAGGCACAGCCTGGTTCCCCCTCCCCCAGGCTTGCCCAAGGAGACGCCTGGGAGGGACAGGCCTACAGCCAGGGGTTGTCACACACAGGCCCTCCCCGCACTCCCTTCTTTCCTTCCTGAGCATCTGCACAGTCTTTTGGCCTCTGCCTCAGGCTCCTCCTAGATTCTCAGCAAAGGGGCCTCCTGGCTTCCCTGGCCCATCCTGCCCAGTGGATACTAGTTTCCATTCTTCCCAGGTGAGACCTGAGGCTGGGGGGTGCCTGGAGGATAGTGAGGGGAGGGATGTAGTCGGAGGGCCGGCCTCCAGGGATTTGGGTCACCTCAGGAGAAGAGGGGTGCTGGTGGGCAGGACTCACAGGCGGGCAGAGCAGATGGCTGAGGGATTACTGAAATCCAGCTTTGTTCTCATCCAGTGAGGCTGGACCTGAGGGGAGGCAGGAGGGCCAAATCACACTTGGATTGGATTTCTATGCCACAGCCCAGACCTGACGGGCAGCGTCAACAGGACAGGCTGCTTGTCAGAGAGGCCGGGGTCCCCCCAGTACTAGGCCCTCTCTAAACTGCCCACTCCTGGTCTGAAGACAGCAGGGGGCAGTTAAAATAACCCATCTAACTGCATGAAGAACTGTCACCATGAGGCACCCCTGGAGGGTCGCTTATCCTTGGACCTGCCTCTGTGGTGGTCCTGTAGATGTGATGGTCTCAATGATGGTGGTGACGGTGGTGATCATTGTGATGATGAAGATTCTGGTGGCGGCAATGATGATTGTGGAGATGAGGATGCTGGTGATGGTGATGGTGGTGATGTTGGTGATGGTGGTGGTGATGTTAGTAGTGGTGGTGGTGATGAAGATGGTGATGATGTTGGTGATGGTAGTGGTGGTGGTAATGATGTTGGTGATGGTGGTGGTGATGTTGGTGGTAATGGTGACAATGTTGATGGTGGTAGTGACAAAGATGTTGGTGATGGTGGTGATGGTGACAATGTTGTGATGGTGGTGGTGATTTGGTGGTGATGGTGACGATGTTGGTGATGGTGGTGGTGATGGTGATGATGTTGGTGATGGTGGTGGTGATGGTGACGATGATGGTGATGGTGGTAATGATGAAGATGTTGGTGATGGCCATGGTGACAATGTTGGTGATGGTGGTGGTGATTTGGTGGTGATGGTGATGATGTTGGTGATGGTGGTAATGACGAAGATGTTGGTGATGGTCATGGTGACAATGTTGGTGATGGTGGTGATGGTGACAATGTTGGTGATGGTGATGGTGGTAGTGACGAAGATGTTGGTGGTGATGGCGGTGGTGGTGCTGAACATACGAGAGGGGTGACTGCTATTTATTGAGTCTTTTCCGGTGCCTAGAGAGGGTAGCTCTGCCAGCTGCTCCAGGCACTAGTGTGCAGTGGTGGAGTCTGAACGGAACCCAGACACTGAGTGCAGAACACACATGCTCAGCTGGGGTCGGCAAACTCTGTCAAGGGCTGGGTTGAGAAAATCTTTAGCTCTGAGGACCATCCGTCTCTATCACAGCTGTTC